AAAACTATTGTTTCGATGACAATGTCCACGACCTTGAAGATTTCTTTGGACTGTCGGATGTTGTTCAGTAGATTATAGTTGATCTCAGCACCTTATTCAGAATCTTTTGCTGATGACACCTGATTAGAGACGTAAAGAAAGAATAAATAAGAACTATTTAATATGGTTTATCACAGAAGAATATGGAAGCATTCTTGTGAGAAGTAAAAACAAGAAATTTTCAAGCAAACGCTGGATTTCTGACTTCAAAAGATATTTAAGTATAGTTTGTCTCAATCTTCATCGTGCTGACTTTCGATGGACCCTCCTCAATAAAACTTTAACGATTATATTACTTATTGTTAATGGGTAAAGCCATTAACAACAAATTTATTCTTATTTGAGTGACAAAGCAAGGGGGCAGGTATATTTATTTCTTTCTGGTATATTTATTGAGTGTTGACCATTTGTGGCAGTGTTGAATAATCGTTTTTACTGTGCGTTTCAAAAAAGTCATTTTACGAGAATATAACAATATCGCGTTTAAATCATTTGTCGCATGCAAAACAGGTTGAGAAAAATGTGTATGAAACTTTAATCAACAACCAGCATTCAAAGAAACCTGTCTAATTACAAAATCGCCAATATCGTAGATAAGGAATATTATTGATAGTGGAGAATTGAAGAAAGAGAATAAACGTAGTGATTTTGAAACTCGCCGTATGGACAATAGTGATCAGGACCTAATAAGTAGGAAAATATATTGTTTTTATCAAAGCAAATTTGTTTCTACCTTGGATAAACTGAAAAAAGAAGCTAGAAGAAGATGAAACCTATGTAAATATTAGCCGTGCCACCCTCTATAGAGTCCTTTGTAAAATAGACAAACGGCAAGTAGTAACGCAATCACATTTAGAGATTTACTGACCTTCAAGAAATTAAAAGATACACGACACTGTATCCAAAGGATAGGTCGATTCCACTCAAAACTGTCAGACGAAAGCACCTCTAAGTAAAGGAAAACGCATCAACATAATACGCGGTGTGTCAGAACACAGATATGTCCTAAACTGTTTGCTGTTTTCAGCAAAGAATATTAAGGATTCCAGCTAGATTATCCTGAGGATACAAGTGACGAACTTTTTGAAAATTGGTTTCAAAACGATCTTTTAAAAAATATTCGCAATAACAGTGCTATTTTCATGGATAACGCAAGCTATCACAGCCGTCTGGTACGCAAAACAGAAATCCTAGTTTAACTGGCACCGGCAGGTAACTTCCATAATTGTCGGCAAAACCCAGCACGATGAAGATGAAGGAATGTGAGCATAGTATAAAAATTATTGTAGCATTAGGCCTACATTTTTGAATGGTCTTTGACAGTGCGCAACGCAAATTTATAGAAATCTGCGATATCCTGTGGCACTCTCCCCGACCTCCCATAAATAATGCATATCGCGAATAAAATGTAAGCCATAAGTTGTACGCATCGGCAAAAAATGGAAACGGATTGCTGAGAACAATGCGGCAATAACGTTAAACATTTGTAATTAAAATTTTGAGCTCGCAAAAAACCGGTCGCAATAAACCATCGCCTAATGTGGAACTGGATTTTTTTCATTTTTACCACCCGACGTATCAATGCTTGTTAATATTGACTGCCTGCTGATGACTCTCACAGAAAATTTTTACAGCTTTTTGAGCAAATGCACAGCGGTAAAAAGCGTAATAAAACCGAGTCAAGAAAGTGCTTTTTAAATAGATAGTTCCGCTTACGTTGAAGTGTCATCAGACAGTTTGATTTCCGTGGAAAGTCTCAAGAAAATATTCGTTGTCTACGAATTAAAAGACCCCTTAAATATTACATATGAAAAGACGCTACTAGTGTTGTCAGCCAGTTTGGTGTTGGCAGACCTTCCTCAACGCAATAGATATCTTCAAAAGCACCACAAAATATAATTATTTTATGATTTAAAGGATCGACTTGGTACATATAAAAGAGAAATTTCTTACTACAATTTAGAAATGATCTTTGCAGATTGTGATGTAGTGATTTATCAGTTTCGATTACTCCGTCGACGTTGCTTTGATTGCAAAGTGTAAGGAAGCAATATGTGTGACACAATCATCTTGCCGAGTTCCAAAAGGTCACAGACACTCTGAGAATCGTGATAAATAACCAAGCTAGGCTTTCGGCGCTTGCATTGTTGGTCATTAGCATTTTATTGTGTGAGCAAAATTATTATATATTTGATAGTCCTGAGAGATATCGATCTTTTTCGGAGAAGTATGTGCGATTATTATTTTCAAAATTGGTAGTCCCAAAAGATAGCGAGCATTCTCGTGAGATAAATACGCGACATATCACAGAACTAGCGACCTCTTTCTTCTTGAGAGCGGCTCTATCCAAGCTGCCTGTTGCCGACCAAAGAGTCCTGGCTCTTGCCGGCGGTTGATTTATTAGATGCATTGAGCCCTGGGTGGGGGGGGGGGGGGGGTGATGACAGAGGGTCGTAATTATTGGAAAAACCGCGCGAACTGGGACATAAAATGACATTTTATTGCGCCGTCGGCAATAAACGATGAAAATATAATACGAGAATATACGGCCCGATATATTTATCTGGCGTTTTGTTCTATTTGCTAATAATTGATTTATTCCATTTTTACGTCCGTTTTTATGGACCCTCGGGCCGAAACAGCCATAAACCGCCAGATAAATTAATCGGAATAATATTGACAACCGCGCGAATTGTTTGGCGCGGCGGCTCCGTCCGAAAACGAAATCTCTTCGTCCCGTAAGAACCCGGAAATTCCGTCTCGCCATGACATACGGTGCGTTGCAGAGATACGCGTTTTCATTTTCCGCCCTTCAAATCCCGAAAAAATCCCCTCCCTCCACCCCGCGGGACGGGGCGTGTTTTATGACGAACGCTATACCTTGTCCCTTCCCTCGTATACCTATCTACCCTTCAGTTTCGGCCGTCGCGTCTGCCCAACGATGTGAAATTATCTCAAATTACTCTCTCTCCCTATGCCGTTCCGATACAGGAGTGACTCTGGCCCGTTTTGCCGCGTGAGCGCTTGAAATCCGGCCGACTGTAATAACCGCTTTATTTATTTACCCTAAGGATGTCCGCTCATGCGTGATCCCTTCTCTCTCCGTCTCTGTCTCTTCCCCGTGCGCCTTCTCCGCGACCGTCTGCCATTATTAAAAATAAATCAGCCCGCGTTTTCGTTTCGGCAGGCGTTTTTTTTTTTGCTTTGCTAGCAGGGACCTAGAAGAAAACACAAATCAGGCTTTTTTGTCGGTGAATATACTCGTGTCACATGACAGCTGGAGTAACTTAGGTCTTTTCCCACATTCTGAGGAGTCTCTCCTTGCTTTCAAAATATTATGCATATTGACTTTTTCTTGTTCTAAGATCCGACCTTTGCAAGTCTTTTTGACTTGACAATTTATTCCTATTTGTTACTTCAAGGCGGAAAAATATCATTTAACCAAAGTCGAACTTATCTATCAATGTGTGTCACGAGACTTCGGTGCCAGCGACCTTAAGTTGCCAATCATCATCTCGAATTGCCTTCAAGAAAATGTGATTTATATTCACGTTAATCGTTGAACTGAGGTGGCTTTTACTTGATGAAAATCGATTTATCAAAATAAATAAGAACTAAAAGTTCAGATTTTCACGAAATTATATATTATGACATGACAATTGTTTCGACAACACCATGTCTTTATCAAATGTTTTGATTTGATAAAGACACGGTGTTGTCGAAACAATTATCATGTCAACATTAGTTCTTATTTATTTTTACGTTAATCCTTGCACTTATCTGTTATTAAATATGGACTCCTCGATGGATTCTACAGAATAAGATCCAAGCATGTATCATACGCTTCTTTTAAAGAATAGACCGGTACAGTACAAAGATTGGCTTGGATTCTGATTTTGATAATAGCCAATACTATTTCATATAACATGCAAAGTATATTAGGTATATACACTCTAATAACTCTTCAGAGCAATAGACCACTGGCAGACCTGTTAATGCCGTACAGGATTCTAAACTGTTGGGTTAACTCCAGTTATCTTTTATCAAAAATTAACCTACTAGCGAAAAATGCGAAACGCAAGAGATAGATCCGTTTTTGCTGTAAACCGAATTATCCTAGGATTCTGGGTTAATTATTCAATTACTAGACCACAATGTTTAATATCTTAGTGGTAAAAGAAACTTTAAAATATACTTACCAAATCTCATTTTCTTTTTTTTGTAAGTATTGACTTATCGTTAAAGTACACTTGTAGTTGCTTTCTTCTTGAATTATTCTTAGGGAGCTAGAAGTGCACAGTTCTAATCAAATTCGGTTCGTCGCTGGACATACTCGTACCAGGTAACATCTAGAGCAACTCACGTCTTTTCTCAGATATTCAAAGGACATTTTGAAGAGTTCTTCCTTGCTTTGCATTACTGACGATCAACTTCATAAACTCCTAGCGTGGTCGTGGTTATATCGCATAAATTGGAAAGATTTTGCATATTCATTTTTTTTAAACCCATCTTTGGTGGTCTTTTTGATTTGTCGGCGCAGTAGAGGAAGAGAGAGACGAGCTATTCGTCAGCTTACTTCAAGTCAATGTCCGCTCCGATGTTTCAATGCTAGCGACCTTAAGTTGCCAATCACCATCTCCAATTACCTTCTAGAAAATAAGGGTGATCCACACCTTACATTGGAAAATGTGGGGGGGGGGGTACATTTTAATAATTAATCGTTGCGGTAATTGTTATCAAATACGGAATGTAGGAACGTCAAATAGAAAAACACTCTACTCACTTTTTAATAGACCCCTAAGTTATTTTAATAGGCTTTGATTCTACTGACGATTTAATAGGCAGTTAACAAAATCGTTACCGTTTTTTTTAATTTTTATTTATAATAGCTAAATAAATATTATTAAGTTGAAATTGTAATATACAAATAAATATCTAACGTCAACTCCTTTTCATTGCAGAGCGCAGTATCGTCGGGACCAAGCCAAACCTCACCCCCACCACCAGCGAGCGGCATGGCCGTGACGTCATCAGCGCCCAGTTCGGGCAGTCCGCCCGCGCCTGCGCAGAGGTGCTGCGATACCGGTCGTCCTATTTTTACCGACCCGTTGACGGGACAAAGTGTATGTTCGTGTCAGTATGAACTGTTGGGTTACCAGAGACTTGCGGGGGCAGCGGTGCCCGGCTTGCCCGCCCTCTCGATGTATTCGGCTCCGTATCCAGAAGGTATGGCGGCCTATTTTCCCGCGCTCGGCGCAGACCAGGCTCCCTTCTACACTTCCACGGTGAGTGTTTGTTTATTTATTTATTTATTTATATTTATTTATATGCTATAGGCCATTCAACAGACAGGCGCAGCTACCCAATTACAGAATGGCATATAGGCTTATACTATTTAACAAAGTCGGAAAAGTGAGCAGTACATTTCTTATCCCTACAATGAAAGCAAAGGTTTTTATATACGTTTGTTTAAAATAAACTAAGGCTTAAACTAAACATATCTATATCTATTCCGTCTAGACAAACAAGTACGAGTACATCTTATTATAGGAGAGTATAGAAAAGTAATTCGACCTAAATCGCTCAATAGAACTCAATCAATAGGAGTCAGTCTCGCACACACCTAATATGGATTAGGATTAAAGTTCAAGTAATTTATAAAAAAAAAATTAACAAGGTTATTTACAATTTTGTAAAGAAAAACAACATCAAAACAGTTACTTAGAGTTTCAAGCGACTTCAAATTGTAGAATTTTAGGTTTTCTTTGTACGACCAAAAGTGTATCTCTGTTGCATCTAAAGTTTAAGTTGTTATAAAGTTTTTTTGTATGCTTTCTATTCTGATGATACGTTTACTATAAATAAGATTATTATTACTGACTGATGGTTGTTGAATCCTTTGGTAGTTCTCAAAATGAAGCCCAGATTTCTCAAATATTTTTTGACAATTGTTTCAATATGTTAAAAAGTTTAACAGATAGTCAAGAACAATTCGCAAGTCTTTTACTTGCTTAACTCTTTTCAGCTGTTTATTAACAAGCATTAAGTTAATATCTATAAAATCTTTTTTCCTTGCAAATAGAATAAATCCTCATTTTGCGAGATTTAAGAATAATCTGTGTCTTCTACAATAATCAGCAAGTCTGTTAAGATCGCTGTGAATTTTCCTAAAATCCAGATATGACGACACTCTTGGTCCTAGGAATTGATGAAATGTAGAACGGAGTATCCGTAGGTTCAAACACACTACTAAAATAGTCACAACAAAGTTGAGACATATGTTGAGAATCATTTGATGTAGTACCTAATGTTAACTTATCAAAACTCAACGAACGTCAGCGTTTGGACTTTTTTTTTTGTTCGTTTACGTGGATTTAACGTCATGTTTGACTTTTGTACTAACGAAAAGGATAAATTGATAGCTATTGACGCCAGTTTTGCGTCACTTCTGACGTTGAAAGTTTTGGAGGTCATGGTAGCTCATGGTTGAGCGTCACGAACGAACGAAACTAGGTCAGTTTTAGGTTAGATTGTTGGAATGGTTGTTTTGTTTCGATGGGAAACCAATAAAACGGATAGAGTGACAATTCAGCGACAAAAATCGACTCTTGCGACTCGTAAAAGTTTAATTATTTCATTACCCGAGTTAACGGCTCGTTAAAAAGCCACTAATGGACTATATGTTCACTTACTTACCGCGCGGTAAGTAAGTGATAGATTATGTACCGGGCAGCCGGGCGATACTATATTTAATATCTTTTATTAACTTATTTATCACCTCGTTAAAGCAACACACACTGTCTGTGTTTCCATTATATGTTTACGAGGCACTTAAAATAGGCAAAAATGACACTTAAATGTGATTTAGTGGTTGCCTCGCTCGTTTTTTATTGTTTTTCGATTTTCGCAAGTCAGCTTATCCGGAATCATTTACCGACATTACCATAACGACACGCACGGCTTTTAAGTAACGCGATTAGTCTGTACTTAGAGACTTAAGTCGATTGTCTTGCGCTTTCGTTATTTACAAATTGATAATTTATATTCATTAATTCACCTAGTTAAGCGACAATGTCGACCCGATGTAGGACAAACCGCGAACTAAGGACGATTGGGATTTTTCTCTTACCATTTCGGGTTTTCAAATATAAGGTGGATTTCGAAATTCACGCTTCTCAATCAGATTTTAAGGTTTGCTAGAGGAAACGTTCCTCTTCTACCGAGCGTGACGTCACTTGTTAGACCATCATCAAATAGCTCGCGTTTGATGGTTGTGTTTTCGGAAAGAAGTGACTTTAAGGTTTTAAGCAATGTTTATTAACCCTATAAAATTAACTTGTTCTGGTTATTGTGAATTTAATCCGGTTTAATTTAATTCGATAATAAAATTCGTTATAATAAGCATATGATCCAACTTCAGAACGTGATAGATCATTCAAGATGTACTTTTGCAAAACGGAAGAAGCTTCTGTTACCACTCAGTTTTAAATTTATTACATTATGGAAAATGTGTTATGGTAAAAGTTGAGTAGGCGCTACTAAAGTATCCGTCTGACTAACCCATACTCGTTTCTCCTTTTTTCTTTTGTTTTGCATTATGTCAGCTACATTAACTTTTTCTGCAGCACGAACTCTCGTTCTCAGTGCCGTTTAGAATGTTGATAATTGACCAAGTGTACACGTAATAAAAGTAAAGTTGCCATTCGCAAATAAGCCTTAAAGGAAAGCAGTTTTGTAGGTTCAAGAATTAGAACCCAGAATGGGACCCGGTGAATCACCGCATGGGTATAAAGAAAACAACTCGACGCAACTATATATTGTAATTAAACAATTTAATCGTGTAAACAAGGATGTTAAAAACGTTTAAACACGCGTTCCTCTGCCGCATAATTATCTAGTATGCAGATTAGATTCCATTTTTTCGTCGACGGCGACTACGCGCTCGCGGGCGTTAATAGCTAGCTCGGTTTGCTCGTCGTCGGGAATAGAAATACGAATATTATCGTCGAAGGTCGCCACCTGATCGAAATATATCGCGACGCGTGACGTTTCGTTCGCTTTGTTCGACCACGATGGTCCTTCGAGCCGGATATTAGCGAAAACGACTTTTCCACGCCGAGCACAGTCCAGATCGTATCTCCAGACGCCGTTCCCTTCTATGACTGATGAATTAATTACCTCCGCGGTACAGTTAAAACGATAAAGAGATTACTTGTAAATAATAACATGGGCTCTTCCTTTTACGCGTCTCGGTAATTTATTATATATAATATATTCGTGCACTTATATTTTAATACATGCGGACGCGGATCCTACTTCCTCCTGTGTTAACACGCGATCCTAAACAATAGTTAATTGTAATTTTGTCCGTACGGCCTGCGGAGGAATAATATAACGTTGTTTTATAAACAAACAATGGTATCGGGTGTCTTGCGAGGTACGTGTGAGTTTAACTACCGTGCGTTATTATGCAAACGTGGAACAATTAGCTAATTGCTTACAATGGGTGTGATTTGTTTAAATGTATGGTCGCCGATACCGGTTATTCCGATGTTTACGTTATTCCAAAGTTTTGTTTGGATCTTGGACAAAGCACATGTTTATGACTCGAGTGGAGTCAAAGCTCGTCGGACCTACGACTGTCCAATTTTCATTCATTTCCTTTATTCTTTTCTTCTTCCCTGCAGAATTATTATTATATTTCTAAAGCATTGGACAAGCTTAACCACAAGTCCGATCTCAGTGAATTTGGCCCTAACCCACACTATCAAAATTAAGTTTTTTTAATATAATTTTTTTATAGACCGAGTTCATCGTATATCCCTATAGTGGACGCAGTTTTGAGAATTAATCTACACTCCAACTAGAATTTTCTTTTCGGGATCTGCCACTATTCTTGACCCAAAACTTAGTGGGAATTTTTGATAATAGCACAACTGGGGTATTTTCTGTTGCCCTAGGAAAGGTAAAATAAATATGAGCCAAAATACGTGCAGTTCCGGGATTTTATTTTTTTTTTTTTACGGGATATCTTAATAGCTCAGTTTGACCAGGTGATACAAAGCTCAACTTAACTTTTAACTCCATTTTGTTAAATCTTTACTTACTTACTTACTAAAGTTTTCGAAAAAAGTATATACAAGCAGCTATACCAGTGTATCCTGGTTTACGATAGTCTACCACAGCATCAAGCAAAGTTCTAAATAGGTGATAACAATTCAACACTATATCTCAAGAGCCTGTTCGTGTTATTTTGGCCTCTGTTTAGTTTAATAATGTGTTATCCGAGTTCTCTATGGTCACTTCTTGAAAAGGTTAAATTCTCTCGCTTGCGCCCTTTTGAGTGTATATGCGCAAAAATTGTTACAACCCTACGTTGACTTCAACTCATCTCAAGAAATAACTGCAACTTTGCTAAAATCTAATCTACAAAGGATTAAAACCTAGGATTCAACACTACGTTATAATCTGCCACTAAATCCACGCAAATGCTCCCTTATCGTTTTTGGCACAAAACAAAAACCGAACAAAATAACAAATAACAAACTTGTGTTAAAAACTTGTATAGTATATGTACGGTCGAAGGTAGCTGTTATATCTGTCAGTGTGCCTCAAGGAAGCATTTTCGGCCCTCTGTTATAGACATCTATATATTTTTTACAAATTTACACATAAACATTGCGATTATCATCTTTACGGAGATGACATGCAACTATATTTGGTTTTTGTAGAACAATCCGAGTAAATCTTCTATTTTCTTGTTTGGGAACCATGCATATGCAAAATTCTTGTATAACAAGGAACCAGAATGACTTCGTATGTTTGCTGTGGCTTCGAGATCCTTAAACATGCTTCCTTCCTATTTATATCATTAGCCTTTTTAGTCCTGCTCTCTCAAATACAATTTAACTGATGTGTTTCCAGTGCATTGGTTACAAATTGCTTTGAGACATACGAAGCAATAAGAATTTAAATGTCTAAAATCTAGCTCATGGGGCTCTCGTGGTCCTGCTGCTGTAGAATTGCTTTATATGGCAACCTTCAACTATTCTGGTGAGATAACTAATTTTGGAGGCATATTTTTTGATATTAGATGATATAAGAGGCGAGCTGAAAAAATTGTTTTACTATAATAAAATATCTTAAATCACGATTAAGATTAAAATTCTTTTCAACGTTGTAATTTGAAACAGGTCTCTTCGAAGCGGCAACCTCTCCCTCCCTCTCTCGTTCTCTTCGCTTGATTCATGTTTGCAGCGCCTTCAGTCGTCCTCCAAAAGCACTCGAAACTTGTAAACTAGTTTGCGGACGCATTGTACCGGTTTATATTTTAAACCCGCTTATACGGAAAATCGATACGCCGCCTCTAATGCACCCGGTAGGGTCTAATCTTGTTTCGTGTTGCAGTTTTTTTTATTTGCTCCATATAGGCCGTCGTTCGACGACGACGCGTTTGTTCGGCGACCGCCGAGATCGCCCGATTTCGTACCCCTGGAATTTTCGCGCGCCCGGGTAGTACCGTCACCCTCTCGCGCGCAGATTTAAATAATTTAAGGCCCGTCGCGCACCAAAAGGCATCTGTCCGGCGCTTTGTTGCTCGTATGATTAATACCGCAGACTCTAATGAAGTTATACTCTCGCCTACGCGGCTGAGACCCGATCCTGATTTATAACCCGACTCGGGTTTGTATTTGTGTGTGTTCGAGTGGTTCTGCCTCTTTGACGTCTTATTTTTTTACGCCGGTAGTAGCGATGCCAATCGGAATTAAGTGCCTGATTAGCGAACTTTTCGCTACCAGTTTAATTTTGTTAGTTTTTCCTTGACCATTATAAAGTTTACAAATGTTTAAATAGACCTCAGTCGAGACAACAAAGGAGCACAAGAATCTGGAAAAAAAAGCTACTCTGTTGGTCATTAGTGGCATCGTATATTTGGCTTTTTGAATTTGTCTCGAATAATCGACCACTGGATGATTAAGAATGAAGTCTCTGCTTCACTGTACACTCCATTCCCACGTCTCTTGGTAGAACGGCCTATTTTGGGCTAGCCAGCTGATCGTCTGATGCGTCGAATGTTAAAACCTGTAAAAATCCTATACCAATGTGTTTTTGACCTTAAGATAATTAGACAAATTTGTATTTGCATGGACTTGTTATTAGTATAGGATAATGTCATTTAATATTAGTAGATATCCAAAAAGACAAACAATTATACAAGACAAACAAGTATACGGATTAAATAAGTAAATAAATATGTTAAAATTAAATAAATTCATTAATGCTTGGAGGCGTTGTAATTTAGATATTCATCTATAATATAATATGCATTTTTACTAAATTATTTTAAAGTCACTAATTTTTTGCATTTTTTTCATCCCGATGGGAAGTTTATTATAGAATTTAACCGGTACTTTTGCCAGTCTGTGCCTAGGCAAGATCATTATTGTTAATATTATTATTATTATATTATGTAGCATTTATTGTCAAAAATACAAATACAGTATTATAAGACAAGTCCAATACACCCCACGAAGACAATAAATACAGTTTTTATTCCATAAGAATAACCTCCAGGTGGGAAAAAGACACACTTCCCTAGGTCACTATTAGCTAAACTAGAAACTACTTGGACAACTTAAAACTATGCCAAACCTTGGTAGAGCCAACAAAAAAAGAAAACAAAGCTGGAAAAAGAAAAGAAAAAACATTAATAATTCTGGATTACGTCCCTAGTAAATAAATAATCACTCTAGTAAGCATACAGAGTAAATTTAGATACAAAAACTAGAAAAGATTCATAAACAAATAATGGATAAACGGATCAAATTAATAAATTTAAAATTATTAGTTGTTTTTCAAATCTAAGGCATAAAAGGCATAAAAACAGTTTTTGTGAAGTTTATGCTAACTTTGTTGTTGTTAAACCATTTTATATGTTCTATAAAATTACCTTGTATTTTGTATTTTAAATATCAGCCTCATAGAAAAAACTTGCATAGTTTGCAAATTCAATAGCGTTTGCCCCACCCATCACCTTTATATATATATATATATATATATATATATATATATATATATATATATATATATATATATATATATATATATATATATATATATATATATATATATATATATATATATATATATATATATATATATATATATATATGATGACACTATATTCCGGGATATCATCCGTTCGCTCGTTGAACTCCGACTGGAATCCTGCATCCGACTGGAATCCTGCAAATCCTGCATCCGACTGGAATCCCGCAGACGTTTCGCCAAAATCTCACTTGGCATCTTCAATGCTCGCGCTCCGAAAACACTTCGAACACTCATATATATATATATATATATATATATATATATATATATATATATATATTTATTTATTTATTTATTTATTAGAAAGTTTTTAATTCATAATAAATTTATTTAACATTTCGACCGGTGTATTCGGTCTTTTTCAAAAATATCTAAAAAAATTTACAGGGTTTTATACAAGGCAACGAGAGCGAGAACACACAACGGCACGATTTAAAATTGTAGAAATAGAACTGTAGATATAAAATTGTAAAACAGAAATGTAAACGGTGTAAATATTGACAATAACAATTTGCATGCGCGTGTCTGCCAATCTGTCGTGCGGACTGAGATATTAATTGGCATGCGAAGCAGAACTACGGAAAGTACGTTTTTTTCCCCGGCGATGTTATTTATTTACTTCATTTTTTACTTTAGATTTTTATTTTATACCAGCTACCCTTATTTATTTAGTTTTTAGATTATATTTTATATGTAAATCAGAATTGTATGGTAAATTTTACTAAGGCCTTTTGTGGCGGCTTTAAAGTTTATGGATTTTTGTTTTTTTTTAATTTCTATCGATTCTTAGAGTTCTCTTTTTTTAGTATTACTAAATACTAGATATACTAATTACTAGATACTGTTTTCAGTATCTCTTTATTTTGAAAAACGAATGAATGTTTAGTTTCACTACAATGTGTATGAATAAGTGTTTTGTTGGTTTTGTGAAATTTGTGCTCATTCATTCTATTTTTGAGATACCGTCGTTTGTCCAATGTACACACTAAAACCGACACAAAAGACCTGCTTTTTCTGGAAGAAGATTTTGAAATCTTCATCCATTATTTTTTATAGAGAATCAATCGCAAGAATCTTCGAGATAGGTCTTTAACATAAATCCTAACTTATCTGCTGATGTCTCAAAACATTTCACATTTGAAACATTTTTTATTTTTAAAATTACATTTATTAAAAAAAATCTGTTTAGCTAATTAGTAATACAAAATGATATAGGAATTTTTTAATACATTAATAATATTTTTTATTATTTCAGTTGACACTACTTTGTTTTAAAAAAATTTCGTGAATAGGCAGCAATTAAAAAATATTTACGCATGTTGATAAACTTCTTCAGTCACTCGTTTATTAAACATATAATATACGGTTAATGTAATGTCGCTCCTAGGCCCTTTTGATTTATGTTACCTGGTTCACGATGTTTTTTTTTATTGTAAATAACATCATTTTAAAAAATGAAGACTTATTCTTCAATTTAATGACCGTGGGTTGAAGATATTCAAAAAATTCAGTGAATTGAGTGAAAAGCATTATATTTATGTTTAAACGAACCAGAGAAAACGTACAAAGGAGAACTTCTCGACAGAATCAAAAAACACGTTTTTGTCAAGGAGACAACTTTTTGAGTGAAGAATTGATCACCCCTTTGTCTCTACCCGCAGGAGGACCCGCTGTTCTGTATAAATGAACCGTTTAAGGCTGAGAATGTTATCGCTACCCAAGCTTGATGCTGCTGAAGTTAGATTTAGATTTGGATTCGGATTTGCAAATGTTACAGTGGACCAATTCGTTATTTATCTTAATTAAAAAAACGTATTCCTGTGGATATACTGGATAAGTAAGCGCGAAAAAATTGAAATTAAATTATTATTTGGGGTGATGCGCTAGGAAAACGGGTTATTTTCTCTACAGCAACATTGGATATGGTTTTTGGAAGTTCCCTTACAATATCTCAGTGCTTACTTACGAACTGGTCCACTGTAATATTTGTAAATCCGAATCCAAATCTAACTTCAGCCACATCCTAGCTTGATGCTCATATCTGCTGAACACAATAGAACAGATTAGTTTTCTCTTCATATTTTAATTAAACCTTTTACTCGGGAAATTGGAAAGAAGACGTTAGGCGTACGATCGCTGGAATATCGAAACCTTAACTCTTCTTTTTTTTTGCAGGCCGCTAGTTTAGAACTGAAGGAGAACCTCGCTGCAGGCGCGGCCGGCTGGCCGTACCCTTCAGTTTACCACCCCTACGACACCGCGTTCGCAGGATATCCCTTCAACGGGTGAGTCAAGAGGCTCCGAGTTATTTATTAGCTACGTCCGAACGTATGCGAACGCTTTCCGAACGGAATAACTGCCCAATAGCCGTTATCGACATTAAAATTTCTTTCGACCAGCTGTTTGTTTCGCCGCATTCTAAACCGTCATGATTTATAACATCCTCGACGATCCCGAATATGTTTATTTATCGCTCGAATTACTTTCGGGCTAATTGAAATAATATTTTAACGAACTCGGCAATCTGAAAGGGGTTATCGGGTGCAGTTCAAAGCGAATATAAATACACGCCAATTTGTAATGGAAATCTTACGTCGTTCGATGGTGTCACGCGTTATTTGAGGAAGCGTCGATCATGGGTCAAGTTAATTTATCATTTTGTTTACTAAGACGTTTTCCGAGAAACAATTGGAATCCAGGCGATTTAGTATTCAGGGCGGTTTTAATTGCCACCTGGTATTAGACTAGGTAGGACAATGGTAAGATTGAATTGAAGTCTAATGTTTCATATTTAAAATTGGGCAACTGTTTGTCATCATCATGGCGAGTTGTTTGCGACATTCTGTCGCTTCTCGCACTCCCTACTCCAGCGTCTAGTTTCATTCCAGTCTCCTTCGTTGAGATCTCTTACTTCCATTTCGGTTCGAATGTTTGTAATCCATTTTTTCCGTGGCCTTCCGCATTTATTTCTGTGTGCTGTGTCCAGTTCCAAACCTTTAATGGTACGTTTCTTCTTTCATTTTGTGCAGGTGTCAATACCGTTTCAATTGTTTGGCATTTATGGCGTCCATTGCAGTATTTTCGACTTGCATTTTTTCTCTGATGGTCTCATTTCTTACATGATCAAGTAAGGTTAAACCCGAACATCTTCTCCAGTACATCATTTCGGTTGAAGGAAGTAGCGTGGTATATATATTTTTTGTTATGTCATTACTCCACAGGGATTGGATGTAGTGCTTTAATCATGTTCTTTCCTTTTCCTGTTTTCTTTAGTATGTCCTTATTGTCCTTTCCGTTCTCACCTATTGTAACTCCCAGGTATTCGTATTGTCCAACGTTTTTTGTTATTCCGATTTCCGTTTCTGTGCCTCCAATTGTCATGTAGGTCCCATTTTGTGAACTCTTCAATGAGTTTATTTATCATGTACGTTATGTCCTGTTGGTCTTCTGCCAGTACAACCTGATCGTCTGCGAAGAGGATTGTATATGTGTGTCCTGTATATTTATCCTCATGGGACTGCATTTTCTTATCCACTGCCCTAAAGCGCTGCTCAGATAAACTTTAAACAGTGTTGGAGAAAGGAGAAGCCCTGTGTAACGCCTTTTGTTTGTGTGAAGGGATGCGAAGTTTTGTTTCCGACCTTTACAATTGTTTGGTGTCCTCTATACAGTAATTTTACGGCATTTATATATACACTATTTATATTAGTTTCTTTCATTGGTGTCCACAATTTCTGTAAGGGCACAGAGTCGAACGCTGTGCGGAGGTCTATAAAGGCAACGTGAAGGTCCATTCTTCTTACTAGTGTCTTGCTAGTTGTTTTATTATCGTCTATGCAGGATTGCCCTGGTCGAAATCCATTTTCTTCTTCCATTTCTGAGACTTCTTCTTCTATTCGGGCTGTTAGAACTCTTTCATATAGCTTTCCGATGGACGATGTAATGCTAAATCAATCTCTTTAAAAAAAAATGTCCATTCTCATTAATCGTATCTGTAATGAATTCATAAAATGATTCAAATAAATTAATATCTACGTTTCATAATTTTCTTTTTTATTTATTATGTTATTAGCATATTATTTGTGCAAAAAAAAACAAGTTTCTTTTGCTGGGGCTTGAAGCATCTTTTGTATGTTCCGCTGCTGTTCATTAATAATTAAAAAAGAGCCATGTAAGGCGGTTTTTTTTTGCCATAACTTTGTTATTTATTGAAGTTTCCTGAATATCTAGTTAACAAAATGACTTTTCGTTCATCACTTGAATCTAAGAAAAAAAATTATATTGATAATACCACAATGTCGATTTATTAATATCAACCAAAAGTTGTAAAAAAATCAATGATTTTTGTATCGGAAAACCACTCTGCGGTTTACTCTGACCCTCTCCTTTCTCCCTTGTCCTACGACGTACATTAGGGCAAAGGAACCTAAAGTCTATGGACGTCTAACTATTATATATTTTGGAAGAACACATACTAACCTACAAATTTCGCCGACTCTGTGTTTTTTGCGATAAATTCTGTTGTCGCAGCAGCGCTGATAAAAATATGCTGCCGCGAAGGTGCAAAAATATTTTTATACCAGCCTACGCCAATTTGCTCCTTAATTTCTTAATTTTTTTGAAAATGAAAAATATGATCTAAATTTAATTTTTATTATTTTATATTTTTAGGTTCAAATGCAAATGAATTTTGTATTACACGTGGAATTGTGGAATAAAATTAAGTCCTTTGGGTGTAAAAATTTTAAAGAACAATATGCATTTTTGAAAGATCACTCGACAATTTTTTTAAATTATCCTGATTCTGAGGTACATTCTCTCAGTCAAAAAATTGCTCATTTTACTTCTCGGTTAAAAGAAAAATAACAAATAGTGGCTTGAGACGATGTTTGAATTTCCTATATACGTGAGCGTGGGAGACCTGAGTTATCATTTGAGCAAAGCTCTGAAGGAGTTGGTCGGTTTTGGAGTTGAGGTATGCCACCAAAATGGGCTTCGAGGCTTTTGGATTCCACGCCGCTTCTAAATTGGTACAAAATATTGTACCGTCATCTAAATGTGCACCAGAATACCAAAAAGCACACACTCAATTTACAAAACACCATGCTAAGAAACAAATGTCTGGAGAAGAAGCACTTTCGACAATCGTAGAAGCTAAATTGACTCGACATAGTACAACGTAGTAAGTAAAATCGTTCAGGCTCCCAAAAAATTATGTTACCCAAACAATGAAGATATAGTGATAATGCCTATTTCCGCAGAGGTAACGATTCAGGCATTATTAAATCACATAGTTCAGCGAATAATAAAATTAAAAGAGGAGGTTATTTCGATTAGTTTCGAAGTGGGGTTTTGATGGGAGTTCCGCTCATTCATGCTATAAGCAGCGATTCGTTGGAATGGAAGCAGAAGATTCTAGCGTTTTTGTATCTTCGATGGTTCGACTTCAACTATATTCTAAACATCTTGACAAAAGGTTGTTATATGGCGGCATCTACGCCAATCCTCTGCTAAGTATTGCAGGCGAATAAAATTAATGTTTGCCAAAGAATCAACCGAACTTTCGGTAAGAGAAAAAAAACAATTGACACACAAATTAAAGAATTAAAAAGTTCTATTGTTGAAATTAAAAACCAAGTTTAACAGTATCTCATACTCTTCACTTTATTATGGTTGACTTGAAAGTATGCAACGCAATAGCCGATAACTCATCCACTCAACGTTGTTTCATATGCGGAGCAACATCAAAAGGTTTTAACTCAAATTTTGAGTTAAAACCTTTATATAGAATATTTGAATCCTGCATATTGGTTACAAGCTTCCAGTATAAAAATGGCAGGCACGAAATGAGCATAAGATTATTGTGGCTGAAAACAAGGACAGAATACAAAGGGAATTTAAAATTCGCCTCGGGCTAATTGTTGATCGCCCAAAGCCTGAATTTGGAAATTGGATTATTTGCTCTTGACACTGCGAGATTGTTTATTGAAAAATATCTACGGTTCTATATGCCTTCCACACTGCATAAATTGCTTATCCATGGACCCGAAATCATTTCATCGTTTTTTACTTCCGATTGGACAGTTCCCAAAGGAAGCCCAGGAGACACGAAACAAAAACTTTAAAAGGTTTCGAGAACGGTACTCTAGAAAATGTTAGCGCCAGAAATCCAATGCGGATGTTCTTAATCTTATGCTAATAAGTTCTGATCCTTACATAACGGGTTTTAGAAAACCACCGACAAAAAATTTTAAAGTTATCCCTCAAGAAGATTTAAGCTTAATAACTAGCCCTGATGTTTTATTTTCTGAGATTCCAGTTACCGAAACTGATGACGAATAGTCAGAAACTGACTCCAATTTTTAATTTGTTAACTTTGTGCTAGTTAGTTCTAGTTTTCGGTATTTTGAATTTTTTTTTGTGTTTATATTTTATTAAAATAAAATAATTATTACTAAAGTTGAAAAGGGCGTCTGGTTTTTTAAATTGGAAAACTAAATTATCAATTAATATGGCTCACCCTGTATAATAAAAATGTATTATTTCTGGTCATACTTATATAATAGATTTCCATTAAATTTAAAATACAAAAAGAATCATTTAAGCACTTAAAACCAACGCTTTCTTTCAGTTCCCCATATTAGGTTGCTTTGGACGTTTCTCTTTATTGAAGACTATATTTAATGATTAAGGTATTATAATCTTTTCTTCTTCTCCAAGTGCCTATCCGTTCCGGATGTTGGCGATCAGCATGGCTATTTTTAGTTTGTTGATGACGAGTCGGACAAGTTCTGCAGATGATTTGTTAAAGCACGTTCTAAGGTTTGCTAACCAAGATATTCTATTTGAACCCGGTGCTCTCCTGCTGTTATTTTAGATACCGAAGTTTTCCACATTTTACGGTATCAAGCAATTCTGTTTATTGATTCATACGCCGCAATACTTCTATTTTTTTGTGTCCAAGATATTTTCAATATTCTCCTGTACAGCCATAGTTCGAATGCTCTTGGTGGTTTATTTAGTGAGTGTCCAAGTTTCTAAACCATACAGAAGGGCCGAGAAGATGTAGCAACGCAATAGTCTGAGTCTCATGTGTAAGGACAGATTGTGACTCTTTTCTACTCTGGTTGATGTATAAATTATCTATTTACTACTACTACTATCTATCTACTTATGCAATGACCTCAACAATGATATCTGGGGTAAAGCCTACCAAATTGTCACTAAACGACTTGGAAAAGCTGCACCAGAAGCGCCAAAACCCCCCTCCGTGATGTATAGCATC